AAAAACGTGTCAAATTTAGTTATAGTCATAAATATTTGGTGGCCAGTCGATGAACAATTCGTAACTCAGGATGCACACGGAAGTCCTTCAGGGCTGAAAATCATTGACCCTACTCTGGTTTACTTTATTTCCCAACTTGCAGAGAAAACTGATTCGCCGTGGACTGTAATGTATCTAAGCCTAGTATTTTCTTTTTGAACTGAGGTCAAATTCCATCCGTTTGTCAAAATATACCGATGTTTTTCAGCGAATTTTGAAGCCGGTCACAGCACAAAAACACTATGTGAATCGACGCCGGAAATTGGATGGTACAACGACCTTTCAATTAGTGTCAAATATGCTTTGTTACAACATCATTGATTGGTTGAAAGTCACCTGATCGGAGCACGGACATGGTCAATTGAGTTGCCAATAACTTGTGTGTCGGACTATACCATTTAGGTGTGGGGGAGGTGGCTGCGGGAATGGGTGGTTGAGTGTTCAAAGAAGGGGAGGAGCTAGCTTGCGTTAATCACTGCTGTTCACACTTACTCAAGTACTAATCATTTACTTTTATCTCTCTTTCAGGGCAAACGCTTGCAAAAAAAATATGTTTATTGAGACAAATAATGTGTGTGATTATGTGTCATTTTTTTACGGTATATCCTTTCTTGGAAGATGTATTGGCCCTGAAAAGGGCCGTTTTGTTTGGGTTTTTTTTTTTTTTAAATGCCGTACCGAAATGGTTTTAGTTTAAGAATGCCGTATCGAAATGGTTTTAATTTAGAATGCCGTACCGAAATGGTTTTAGTTTAGAATGCCGTATCGAAATGGTTTTAGTTTAGAACGCCGTACCGAAATGGTTTTAATTTAGAACGCCGTACCGAAATGGTTTTAGTTTAGAATGCCCTATCGAAATGGTTTTAGTTTAGAATGCCGTATCGAAATGGTTTTAATTTAGAATGCCGTACCGAAATGGTTTTAGTTTAGAATGCCGTATCGAAATGGTTTTAGTTTAGAACGCCGTACCGAAATGGTTTTAATTTAGAACGCCGTACCGAAATGGTTTTAGTTTAGAATGCCGTATCGAAATGGTTTTAGTTTAGAATGCCGTACCGAAATGGTTTTAGTTTAGATGCCGTACCGAAATGGTTTTAGTTTAGATGCGTATCG